ACCCTATCCCCAACCCAACCCAACCCGACCCCAAAACACACCCCACCAACCGGCCGACCAAACCCACCCTACCCAACCCAAAGTAACCCAACACGACTCGACCGGCCGACCGACCGCGCCACGGCAGCGACGGGATGAAGAATATTTGCAAAGAATGCCAAACGGATGGATGGGTCTTTCTTCCCGATGAAAGCTTCTTCTTCCATTTTCACCGCAAGAACACCGCATCCATCCATCCTCGACTCTTCTTCTTTTTGTGATGTTGAAGCTAAAAAGTAGCCTCACTAGGTCTGTCTGCTGTTCGTTCTTGTTACTGCTGTATGACTTCGATCTACCTATCTATCAATGATGCGCGAGACGTGTGATATATACAGGGAGGGGCCGAGATCTATCAAATAGATTAGCCAGCTACTTTTTCTAGACACCGAAGAACGGATAGTCTACTAAATACACATCGATACTCTCTCCTTTCTTCCCGAATCACTTTTCATCACGGTGAACAGCGCGAGATGATAATGGGGTACTGCATGCATCCATCGTCAACTTTTTCCTGTTTCGTAGCCAGAAGTAGCCTAGCCGGGGCTGTTGTTGTTGTTATTCCTGCTGATATCTCTCCATCTGTCTACATATATGTCTGTCCTGTGTTGTGGGAGGCATGTATGTGCTGTGTACAGTAGTAGTGCACCGAGAGAACGGATCTTTCTCTTGCATCAGTTGCCTGCACATGAATGACTCCCTAGACTAATGTGTGGGAGGCATGTCATGTGCCTTGTAGGTACACACCGAGGACGAGCACGTGAGAAAACCTTTTCGGGGAATCTTTTTTCAGTTAATATAACATGAACTCGTTCTTCTTGTGTAGCCAACGCGGCCTCGTGAGTCTGCTGTTGGCTTTGTGATTTCTCTCTAGACCACGCAAGAATCCGTCGGGAAGCCAGACCTACCTACTACACCTCTCATTAATTTTGAAACGAAGGGACTACGTACAGCAGCAGCCAAAATATACTGTTAGTGCTGCGCTGCTGGTGCTGCTGGTGCTGCTGCTGTGCGGCTGCTGTGCTGCTGCTGGATGATTTCTGCGCTTTTTATGCAGCAACCACCTGCAGCACAGCAATAGCTAGAAGCGTGACCTACCGAGTTTATTACATGTACAGGGCACAAAATCCTTGTTCAGAACAGACAGGCAGAGGTAGGTACAGAGCACGCTGCTCTTCGTATGATATGCATGTGCATACTGTAGTCTATCTATCACCTTTCCTTCTTGTCAACAGTCAAATGCTTGCTGTGCATACGTACGTACGCATACGCATACGGAAGGACTTCATTTTTTTTTTTTGTGCCCCCCCCCCCCCCC